CCAGTATCGGAATCCTCGGCGTCGACATATCAAGTGACGTGCAGTTTCGTAGTCACTTCGAAGAGAAAGCCAAATTGGCCTCTAAAAAGCTTGGCGTGCTCAGCAGAGCGGGACAGTATTTCATGCCGGCACACCGCTTGCAACTTTACAAGGCGCAGGTTCAGCCGCACATGGAATACTGTTCCCATCTCTGGGGTGGGGCTCCCCAGTGCCAGCTCCTTCCATCTGATCGCATCCAGCGCAGAACTGTTCGAATCGTCGGGGACCGAACTCTTTCCGATCGGCTTGACTCACTGACACTGCGTAGCGATGTTGCATTTCTTTGCGTATTTTATCGAGCGTGCTCCTTTTTAAAAGGCCGGCAACGCAACTGCAATTTTCCTGGTGTTGCAGTTGTTCATGGGCGGAGGTAATCACTTACCATCAGGTGAGCCGTATGCTCGTTTGCCCCCTCTCCTATAAAAAAAACGTACCTTATACATAACTATAAGAAACACTAATATTTTAGGTGGAAGGGAAAACTTATAGTGAGTATAGCAAGCAGAATTAATGTTTTGTGAATCGCGTATCTCAAGTTTCTTCTGACTACTTCTTACGTCTAACATTTTGACTGCCCCGTTGTCTATGTTCATCAATGGACTTCTGATAGCATGTAAAATGAACGAATAGCTTTTACAGTCGGCGCTAAGACCAGTGTATCTAAGAACTAAAGCCCGACTTCAGAATCTCTTTTTATGTGAAATTATTTTCTGCCGACTTCAAAAAGGAAGAGGTACTCGATTCGACTGTATGTTTTTTTATGTGTGTTATCTCATAACTTTTTTCTGGGTTAACCGATTTCGATGATTCTTTTTTTATTTGAAAGCGGGTGCTTCTCATGTGATCCCATATGAATTGATCAAGGTCTGACCAATAGTTTTTGAGTTATTCTTAATAATTTATATTCAAGTTAGTTGTACAAAATTTTTAATTATATATTTTTCAGTTCTTTGAAGTCGGTTTTTACTTTTTATTAAAATTTTAATTTTGGATCATTTTGAGTGGACTAAAATATCACAAGCTTAGTGTAACAACTAAAATGGCGTCTAAATATAGTTACATTAAAAACATTACCCTAATTTTTCCACCCTTCGTGTTGGAACTTTTTTACAAATTTAAATGGTGTCACCCATATAACCTATTTAATAAAAAAAATATTAAAATCGATTCACAATTGACGAAGATAGCGCGTAACATGATAGAAAATAAAGTCGAATTGGGAACCTCTTTCTTATTTGACGTTGGTTAAAATATCACATAGAACTCTCAACTTAGTTAGTACCATGTTGTGGCTGTAAGAATATCCACTACCCTATATCATCCTGTGGGTCGTAAGAGGCAACAGAAGGAAACAAATCAGAAGACAAGCACCGGCGTCTTCTTAATAACGTATAAAAATAAAAATCAGCGATTACCAAGCGTGGCAACTATAGCAATCTATGAGGGAGGCCTGTGTCAATAGTGGACTTTAACAGGCTGTAACGATAACGGTAAATGTTAGTTATTAAGCTATGTGCTCTAAAAACTAATAACATTAAAATTGGAGAGAGCAGATAATCCTCTAATAGATAATCTCTATTTGAGCGAAATATGCCTCTTTCCCGTCAATATCGGTAAATGCTAATTCGGTAAATCAAAATAAATATTTTAAAAAACAAGAATAAAAATTATAATTAATTAAGATTGTATATTAATTAACAAAGGGTACAAATTTACACAACCGTGTAACAAAACTACTTTTCAAACCAACTTTTAATAATAAAAATTAACACAAAAAGACCAACAAATATTTATTTGTCAAAATGTTTTGTTTCTAAACAACTTATAAGTGAAAAAAATAAGGAAAAATTTATTATCTCCTGCGTACAATTTTACTGCCATAAACAATTATTATAACCCTATACTTCACTTGTACACAACACTATTTCGATACGATATGCACTGGCAACATTCGGTGTAATATGTAGGTACTAACAGCGCCGCGTTGTGAGGAGGAAGGAGGGAATTAACAATTCACTATCCGATAATAGCCGGATTAACACGGGGCAACCCTTTGTGGGCAGATTGAAAAACTTTAACTAAACATTTGCGCGCATCATATTATATTCACTCAGAGAATAATTTATTCAGCTTTGTTTAGACAACCATAATATATTATTAGTAATACATATTATAATGCTGTAGTATCTACGGATATACACGCATATGTAGTTATGACTACGGTGGAGAGTAAAGTAGATTAATATTGCGCAAATCGGAGATGTAGTGCTGCTCTATTATCACCAAATCAAAAAATCGTGATTCACTCAAATTAAATCACTTCCACCAGCTTTATATTGCACTTAAATAATAAGAAAAGTACACCAATAGCAAGAGCAGATTTCAATTAATACTTATGACGCAGTTATAAGGTTATTTATTTCGATTATTATTAAAAAAAGTTAATTGAACATAATTTCAATTGGACGTCCGTTGGTCGATATGGATGTGAACAAGATATCTTTTGCAAAACTGAACTTTTCAGTTTGATTTTTTTATTAGCTTTAGATTTTAATCCTTAAAAGCCTTTTGAATTCCACTATTGTAAACCGTCACGTTCGAGGTATGCACTTTAGGATTTTCCAATTTTTTTTTATTTTATATATTACTATAACTGGAATATGAAACATATTATGCGTCTCATCTATTAAATCCATGCAGCCGTATAATAATGATATATAATAATGACCTTATTAGTAATAATTCACTCATTATTTTCTAATACTAGATACTTAAGAAAGAAACGAGAAGAACTAGTAAAAAAGTAACATTACCAAGACAAACTTTTTTTTGGTAATGCTGTACGGAAATTTTTCTCCTCTTTTTTATAGAATAAGGGTGACAAATGAGCACACAGTCGACATGATGGTAGGTAGGTGCTGTGGCCAATAGACATTTATCCTCTATTAGGAATGAAAATGCAGATGCTAACAACGCATCTACACCCTTGTGGACTAAGATGGAATGCCTCGTTTCCTATAAAAAGGGTCTCCGGTTCTCTACACCCGCCATACGAAGCACATCTGCATTATGCTGCTATTTTAATCTGGTATTTTGTGAGAGCATGGTTCTATCCCGGTCGAAAAAATGCTATTTTACGACGGTTTTCAATGGATTTCTCTGTGTCTTCACAGTAGAAGAAAATTCAAAGTTTTACAAAATTAAAAAGTTCGAAAATAATTTTTATACGTGGTTCGACCGGGGTAGAAGAATGCTCACACAGAATACATTAAATAGCTTAAAATAGCAATTTTTTTTTAAGTATGCTGAGTGTAAACCAGATACCCTTTTTACTGGAAGCAAGGCATTTTATCTTTGTCCTTTGGGGTGATGTAGATATGTAGTAGATATCTACACCACAACAGCCACATGCCATCAGGTGGATTGTGTGCTCGTATGTCGATATTATTCTATATAAAAAATCAAGCTATGGCAAATAGACACCAACACCTATCCTTGTCCTTGATTAAGAATAAGAATACAGATTCATTGTAATCCTTACAGTGATATTCTTTTCGAGCGTGGTTCTCCTCCGGTCTAGTCATTGTCGCTACAGTAGCTCTACCACATATAAAATAATGACTAGAACCTAAAATATTTCACATAATTATATTAATATAATTAAGAAATTTGACCTATTTTCTCTAAAAACAATATTTAAAAAATTAAAAAAAGGAGGAGTTTCACAATTCGACTGTTTTTTATATGTGTTACCTCAGATCTTTTTTCTAGGTGAACCGATTTTGATGATTCTTTTTTTATTTATTTGAAAGCTGGTGTGCTTATCATGTGGTGTCATATAAATTTGATCAAGATCTGACCATTGATTTTATCGCGTTTAATTATCTTGTTTTTTATTGATTCCCGACATTTCGGGTACTTTACAGCACCCATGACCATGGGTACTGTGACGTCCCGATGTCAGAGTTAACCCAGAGTACCTTCAGCTTTTTTAATTATTAATTATGGTCCGATGTACGCAGAATGAGTGTCTTACTGTGTCTTGATGTCTTGCAGTCAATATATAAAATATAAATAATGTAGTCAATATATAAATAAGATACTAGATTTTATTTACGCATAGTGTTCGCGTAAATATAAGAAATCATTAATATCTGACAAAATGTCAATAGTTTTTGAGTTATCCTTAATAATGCGTATTTAATTGACTTCGACTACATTGGTGATGTTCTCATTTTATTTATATTGATTTTTAATTTTTATTTTTCGACTTGTGTAACATGGAAATGTATTTACACAACAAAAATTGAAACCATTACTCAAAGGCCAATCGATTTTGTTAACTATTGTCATACGTCAGTGCATCTCTTTGATATCTTGTCCGATAGACCTCCTCCTATAGTAACCAGAAATAGAATATTCACGTCACATATTGTACAGACGGGGGCTTTGTCCTAACAACCACTTTTAACATCGGACCTGTCAATTTATATTTGCCTGCAATCATTAAAATAGACGTTGGCACGTATCAACCCATGTTTTACGATGCTAGTTGGTACCAGCTTTATGGAAATTCCCCGCCCCCCGCTTCCTTTAGTTTTACTGACGATTGAGGGGAGCACCGTACTTGTTATATTAAGTTATATTGGTCAGAAGTTTGAACAAACTATCCGAATGAATAGGTGTCAAGAGTAATGCGTCGGAGAGGGCCCGCAGGGGTGCGGACGTGTAGTGTTAACGGAGCTCATCGCGTCATAATGCCACGTAATTCAATTGATTCCCCGGCACTACCCGCACGCTCCTTCTAACTTCGTTTGCAGCGTTTTGATATCGGATAGCCGTTTGACGCCTCCTTGTTCAATATTTTCCCCAGGCGATGAAGAACAAAAAAACAACGGGTAAAGATGACTAAGTTTTGTATTAAACATAATAAATAGTTTTACATTAATCAACAAAAACGCTTAGTGATTGTAAGAGTAGGCTGGGGATGAGAAGGAGACCTGGCCAACGGGTGCAGAGTAGGCAAACTTTGCGGGCGCGGCAGCGTAATTAACCGGAGCTTGGGCATATGCTACCCTGGTTACAGGGGCTGTTGCGTAGTTGACTTGAGCAGGTGCGTAAGCGTACTTGGTAACTGGGGCCTGAGCATAGGCGATCTTGGTGACTGGAGCGGCATAAGCGACCTTGGCGACAGGTGCAGCGTAGGCGACCTTGACGGGAGCTTCAATAGGTTGACCCTCGTAACGCACAACAGCGTTGAAGCCATGCTCGTGGTCAGAGGTGTATTCCACAATACGGTGGACGCCATCAGGCTGTACCAGGGAGTAAGAGCCTTGGAGGGAATCGCCGGCACGTTGTTCGCGTTGCTGCTTGATGTCGCCGCTTTGGGTGTCGTGAACGGAGTAGCTGAATTCGTAATTGGCAGGTGTATCTTCTTCTGCGTAGGCTACTTTGCCAATGGGTGCTGCAGCGTAGGCAACTGGTGCCTGGGTGTAGGTGACCTTGCGAACAGGTGCCGCAGCATAATTGAAAGAAGTTGGGGCATATGTGACCTTGTTGGTTGGATACACAGGAACGGCGATCGCTGTGGCCGCTGCCACCGCGCAGAGGAACACCAAAGTCTGAAATAATTTTGACATTTTTAAAAATTTAAAGAAACTCTTTGGTTGTCTGATACTTTCTTATCATACTTCCTGTAATTTATCCATATTATAATATGTAAGGTCACTAAAATATAAAGTTCGTGCAGTATTGACGTCTTTTGATGTCTTGTTTATAAAGTTAATTTACAATGTATAAAAACTTGTTAGTATTAATTGTCTTGAACCTCACATTTAACAAAAACGATATGTTTGATTATACGAACAGTTATCTACTTTCGTGGTACATTAAATTGCTAGTAAATTTAGAATAATTTCGATTAGATTATTCACATTTTTCAAAAACCTCAGACCGTAAAAGAATTGTATCTCGGCGGCAACATAATTCAATTCTATTTTTAGTCATTACTATACTTTTTTGTTGAGTTCTTTTCCTAATTAATATGGCAGTGTAGTGGTGGTGTAAGAACATTCACTAGCTCATATCATCTCGTGGGTGTGGTAAGAGGCGACAGAGGGAAATTGAAACAGGTGATGGGCAGCAGCATCTTCCTGATAACAAATTAATAATAAACTGCGGTTGCCAACCCACCTGCCAAGCGTGGTAACTACGGCAAAATCCCCCCCTATGAGGGAATATATGGGAGCCTATTTTCGGCAGTGCACTTTTATGGGCTGTAATGGATGAATGGATGGATGGATAACCGATTTATTTATCATTGAAACAACAACTTTAACGATCCCGGCAACAATAATTTGAAGCGTCAGTAGCCTAATGGCAGGGCGCGGACCGCGAACTCGAAAGATCGTGGGTTCGAATCCGCCATTCGACTACTGTCGTGAACCACTTCTAACACAAGCATTTTAAGCTTAGCAGAAGTGGTTAAAGGAAATATTAGTAATGTTTAATAACATTACTAGTTTTTTTTCTAAAAAAAAAAAATATGAAGCGATTATATCAAAATAGTGTTAGGAAAAAGTATATAGAAAGCATGTTATTTGTAAATATTATTCGTATTTTAATATTATTATATTATTTGAAAATAATTTTATAACTATTTAGTATGTTTGAAATTAGAATATCTAAGTAAAAGTTTTATAGCTTCAATAGAGGCACTTACTTCTTCTCTTTTCATGACAACTATAAAACCTGCTAATAAAACAAGATCAGAGAGATCAAGAGGAGAGGATCAAGCCCACAATGTACTAAAGTTTTTCTGCGGCGGCGCGGCGCCCAAAATAATAGTTGACGGGGAAAATATAGTGCCCTATTATTATAGTTTATAAAACTTACCATTTTATTTTATTTTTTTTTAACAGAAGAGGATTTAATAAATGTTTTTAATTATATACAATATTAAAAACGATAATAATAAAAAAAAAACTAAGACTAGAAACTCAATTATCATATAGTACTCCCCGCGGTATCGTGCCGAGAACGCTGGCTGCGTTTCCCCGCTGAATGGCTATACTTAGCCCTTGAGCGAGAAAAGAATCAGTCCTTTTATCACCAGCAGCAACGACCAGCCGCGGATAGAGTTATTTTAGGAACTTCACCGCACGTGGACCCCACGGACCGATAGTCTCTACAGCAAATGGTTCAAATATATAGTCATCTCTCAGAGACTCATATTTGCGCCACTTACTCAGTTTAGCTGCCTCTGATGCCGCCCTGACTCTAAACGAGGTACCCCTGAGATGGGAGGCCGCCAGAGTGTCTACGCAAGTAGCATCCCACACTAGGGCTTTACCTCTCTGCCTAGGGACAAATCTCATACCGTCGGGTCTCCTGCCATCGTCTGTAAATATTCCAGAAGGCTCTAAAACCGAGGGAACATTTATAGAGACAAGAGCCCTTTGGATGACATCTTTCAAAGAACAAAAAAATAATTTATTTATAAATTTCTAAATGTAAGGAAAATTTCATTATCATTACATTTTAGATTAAATCACAGAAAATCAAATAAATCTAAAATAAGCTCTACTAGCCTTACCACGCATGTCCCAATTTCATGTTCAAAAAAAAAAACAATGCCCACTACGAACTCCATACACTATACAGAAATAAAATATTTTGAAAATAATGAACTAGTTTTTATAAAGTAGAGCCGACATTTATTACGCATGTGTTACATTCCTTGCATACATATTCAGTTAGATTATTAAAAAATGTAAATAGACTTCAGTTATCATCGGATCTGTTTGAAATATATAGGCTGTGTCATTTCTCTATGAAAGTATACATAATTATAACTTAACTAACGTTAAGTTCGAAGCCGTATTAAGTAAGAAATCGTATTACTAACATTATTTGTATTTTTTTAAATTGCGTTGAAATTTTGGACTAAGTAGGTAAAGTATATTGGCAAATTTCATCATCATCATTATCGGGTCCGTTTCATAGTCCACTTCTAAACAAAGCCTTTCCCCCAGGAAAGCCACTCCACACGGTCCTGAGCCTCCTGCTTCTATCGACTTCCTGTACGTCTTACCAGGTCATCACTCTATTTTGTGAAAACCGTTCCACACTTCGCTTATCGATACGACCAAATTGGCTCAGCAAAGTTAAAAATATAATATCCACAATACATTATGTACATTTTATACTTTTGCACACATCGAACGCGAAGCGGAGATGTAGTGCTCTATTATCACAGAGTCAAAAAATCGCGACCCACTCAACTTAAATCACTTCCACCAGCTTTATATTGCAGAGGAGATTTCAATTAATACTTCTGACGTAGTTGCAAGATTATTTATATATATTATTATTAAAAAAAAATTATTTGAAAATAATTTCACTTGGCCGTCAGTTGGTCGATATGGATGTGAACAAGATCTTTCGAAAAACTGAACCGATTTCTTTGATTTTTTATAAGCTTTAGAATTTAATCCTTTGGAAGCCTTTTGAATTTCACTATAGTAAACCGTCCGGATCATAATTTTTTTTAATATATTATTAGTTATTTGACGATTTTTTTTTGGTAGCAAACTACGAATCACCGGTATCAAACAGTCAAAAAAAAATTGGTGTTAATTAAACGGAAACAATTTTTTATAACTTTAAACGAAAGACGTGTTTCGGTAATTAATAAAAGTAAATTGATTGTTCAATACATAACATGAGCGTTCGAGGGGTTTTTTAAACTAAAGAAATGTTAACAACAAGATGCGGACTTTTTACAGGCGAATACTAATGATTTCAATATAACAAAAACGGAAACCCTTTTTGGTTTTGCTCTCTTATGTATTCAGTGCTCTTTAATTAATAAGTGAACCACACTCACCTTAGCTGCCATGTTGTTTGATTTAGTTGTTGTGAGTTAATGGTATAGCCGTACTAGCGTACTGAGGTTTTTATACTTAACTGTCTATAGTGTTGCGTATGCATTGCCCATCGCAACACATGTGTATGGGTGCGTGGGTCATAAACTGGATCAAGATTATATAATTTATTCATGGCCAACGAGTACCTAATAGCGTATTTGTCATATTGGTAACAATCTTTAATTGACCCTCCAGTTTGAAAGTACGTGAGCTTGGCATACCATAAGCCATTGCACTAATGGAGTGGTAGATAATTATGTTAATTGAAATACTTTATATGACCTGTCAGAATGTTATAAAAGAACAATACGTAAATTACGTCATAGGTTTTGATAATCGAAAAAACATCGTTATGTATTATAAATAATAAAGTCTAATTAAAGTTAAATTAGTTCAGAGAAACTATTTAAAAATTCAATTATTTAATGTACTAACATTAATTTGATATGTGATAGAGCCATTCTGCAGCTATAGTATATAGAAGTATAGTTGTAGCACAAATGGGTCGGCTCGACCAGGGTAGGACCACGCTCTTACAGAATACCAGCGTAAAATAGCATCTTAACGCTTTTTGCTGTGTTTCGTATGGTGAGTGTAGAGAACCGGAGACCCTTTTTACTGAAAACGAGGCATTCCATCTTAAACCTCACGGGTAACAACGCATCTGTATTTTGATTCGTAATCGAGGATAAATGTAGATGTCTATGGGCCACAGCAACCACTTACCATCAGGTGGATTGTGTGTTCGCTTATCACCCTATCCTATAAAAAATATACTAATATATTAACAATGATGTCGATTATCCAAATGAATTACCATTGTCTATCTCTTACAACATCCACGTTAATGTGTGAAACAAATACAAATTATTATAACTTTAAGATCATGTAATATGAAAATAACTTGAAATTCGCCTAAATTTATATTGTCTGTAAGCAATCAGAGTTTAATCCCGGCGCTAATTAAATTGTCAGTCGCTTTCTTTACCGCGTTCCAGGGAGTGATGGACGCCTTAAAAAACTCGCATGTCTAAAAACATTAATAATATTATGACGACACTATTCCTGGACTATTCCTAGCTTCTATGTACATGAATATTGTAATTAATTAATGTGGTGAAAATTATTTTGCATAGCCACCACGTGTAATTTTTTGATAACTATCATCAACATCTAAATCAAGAAATCATATCTTTTGCAACACCTAATTTAATTGTAAACAATATCAGTGTAACAATCAGTAGCGCGGGTCACGATGCCCATTATAAAAAAAAACCAATGATGTTATCGACGACACAATCTCTTAAGAGCGGTCAAATAAAATAAACGATACGTTTACACAGCGATGGACGGGTTTTGATACTTTTTAATTTAAATTCAACATTTTATTCTAATTAAATTATGCAAAATATGTAATAAAATTTATGAAACAAAATAAGAGTAAAGATATAATATTATTTTGTGGGCATTGGTGTGGGTTATACGTTAAGTAATAAGTACACCTTTATAAATTAATTGTCTTGTATAACATTAACGTGTAACTGTTTTTATGTCCCAATAAAAATAATGATTGTCTTTGATAAACGTAATTGATAAAGTTAAACTTTACAATGTATATCAAAATCTAGGACAAAATGTTAACATTAAATCATGAACCAAATCACAGACGCATTGAAATGACAGAGAAACGAAACGCAGCAGTAATATAGGTA